ATTCCACGACACATCTTAGAAAAAACCATGACAGATAAACAGGGCCCAGTAGGAGGGGCAACAGAAATAGCCATAACAGGTACACCCGAGCCCAATCAAAGAGGCAAAACAAATAATCATAACAAGTAAACCCGAGCCCAACAGAGGGACAAAACAAATAGAGTTCTAGCAAAAAAAAACGAATCCAACAAATGGAACAAAATAAAAAAAACGATTTCAGCTCAACTAAACCGAACAAAAGAGAGCCGACAACAAATAAACTTTTGAGCTAAAATGAGTCCAATACATGGGGAAGAAAGAAAAGTAGCACTTCTTGAAATTCAACCAAAATTGAGCCCACCAAATGGGGAAAACATAACAAAATTTCCAGCTAGCTAACGTTTAATCCCAAAAGACCAGCTAACGTTTAATCCCAAAAGAAGCCAAAACCGAGGCCACCAAATAGGTCAAAATTGGGTAGAATTTCTAGCATTTATTTGAACAGGAACATCAATATTTTATTTTCAACATGAATTTTAGATGAGCAAATATCATTTTAGAGTGCATAACTGTGGCTTCCCAAATATTTCGAGCAGAAAAGAAACGCAAGCAATCCTTTCCCTTAAAATTACTCTTCCTTTAACAATAAATTGATTCAGCAAGGAGAAAGAAGGCTACAACTTTCAACATACATGTATAGAAATGATAGAAGCGCAAGAAGAAGATTTGCAAGTGACAATGGATCAAAACATGCTTTCCCTAAACTACTATTTCAACTAATCAACATAGAACTTCTAAATCAGATCCAATAAAAGCATTAAAGACATAATACTTGTTATCAATGCCATTACGAAATACCAGTTAAGACAAAACAAAGCCACAAAGCCAAAGCCTCATGTATGCACTCCCTATTTTTACATCTCCAATATGTGTTGAGCAGGGAAGCAAAACAGAGTAGAGAAGGAAGAAGTACCTTGCTCGAGATTTCCTAAAAGAAAACAACAGAAAAAAGGCCACCAAGCTTTCAAACACCCAACACACAATGACCTAGCCGAGAAGGAACTTTGGCAGAGCCTTCTTC